CGGGGCGCTTCGAGCGCGAGAAGATGGTGCCGCACCCTAGCGGCGTCTACAACATCTTCTGCCATCACGCGCGCTACAACGAGACGCAGATTCGCTCCCTCATTCCGCGCGCCATCTTTGTTTCCATCGTGCGCCGCCCGGCGGAGTTGCTCGAGTCCCTTTACTCGTTCTTTCACTACGAGAAACGCTACGGCGTAGACTTCGACACGTTCCTGCGAAACCCGAAGGCACACGACCGAGGATTGCCCGAGGTCGGTCCGCCGGCACGAAACTCCATGCTGTTCGACTTCGGACTGGATCTAGAGAATAGCGAGAACGCCGGCGTGGTAGACGCGAAGATCGCAGCGATCCTCGACCAGTTCGTGTTGATCATGATCGTGGAGAGATTCAACGAGTCGCTCGTGCTGCTGCGCGAGCTGCTCTGCTGGTCGTGGCACGACGTCGTCGTCTTCGAGCTGAACGCACGCATAGAGAACTCTCGGCTGACGCGCCGGCAGGTGGCGCTCGCCGACGCGTGGAGCTGGGCCGACGCGCGTCTGTACGACGCTTGTTTACGCGCCTTCGAGGAGAACGTGCGTCGCTATGGCGCCGAGAGGATGCGGCGTGATGTCATCACGCTGAAACGTCACGTGGCGCGTGCGTACGACCGCTGCGTCGGCGACGTGGTCACTGAGCGGGAGACCGGCGAGCAGCAACCACGCACGGACGTATTCTACTTCAAACTGAAGAGCAACGACAGCGCGTGTGTTGACCTCACCAAACACGAGCTTGCTTTCACGATCCAGCTGAAGCGTAAACTCTGGCCCGGGAGGAAATTTATACGTTAATCTACTATCTATGTTATTTATACGTTATGCGCATGATTATATTTTATATAAAAATCGATTATGTCACGTGTTTTCTTCTCAAGCATAGCTTGTAAATTAATTACATCAATTATAAATATAAATCTTGATTTAATTATTTTTATATAATCGGCAAAAAGACAACTCCATTCCAATTTTCATTTTCGTGTAATATTCTTTTACACGATATTTTCTTAATATAATTGATAAAAATTATCATATAAAAATGTATACTTGAAATTAGTAGGTAAGAAACATTTATCTATTATCTATTTACCGACTGTTTAGGGGGGTTTTGTTTATTCTTAGTGAAGTTTTTTGGTTGTACGCTGTGTGTTGTAGCGCCGCGCCACCTGTAGATGCGCGGGAAACTGCTTTCTTTGTTAATGTTGTTCCTACAAATTCGCGTGTTGAACGAGTCGTGGACTCGTGGAACAAACGGTAATCGGTTTTTGGTTCAAACAGAAGAGTCAGTCCCTCAAATAGAGGTGAGTGAGAGATTAGATATTGTAGATCGAAGTAATCATGGCTGTCGTACGATTCTAAAGTTATCGTAGAGACTAAAATTGATATCGCATTTTTCAAAATGCAGAATTTTCAGTGACTTTGCCGCCGGTGTAAAGGTGTGTTTACCTGCCGATTATATTTGGTTTGAGATATCGTGATTAATGATAAAATAAGACCTATAGGCTTACTCTGGTACTGTTTTGCATATGCTTTGAGGTTCGTGCAAGTGTTTTGTGGTCAGTTTGATGGCACAGAAGTGACTTTGGTAGTACATGAATGGCTCACTCACTCGCGTCACTCTATGCGTGCCCCTGAATCGCCGAAGATTAGTGTCAACTGGTACTTGTCCATGTGTTTTGGTAAGTGCAGCAAGTCTTTCAAACTTTGTTTTTGACTCAGGCAGGTAGGCATAAAACGGGCGTAAAATCTAGGTTGGCCTCGACGCAGGTAACAAGAGCCTCCCATGACGCAAACTCCACGACAGATGGCGTTCTCGCTCTGGCTTCGCTCTGGCTTCGCTCTGGCTCAACTCGTATCCTGAGTTGTACAAAGGGGGCACTGCATGCAGTTTGCCCATGACGCTGCCGTGTGGACATTTACCCGGCTGGCTATGCGTGTCCCATACCCCCGTAATATAGGAAAATAGAGCAAAAGCGGTCGAGATAGAGAGACAATAACTGACCATGCACGAGTCACTTACGGACCAAGCGCTTGGGTCTGCTCACATATATATTCACGGTGTCCCAAATAGCCCGCGTACATGCACGGAATACGAAACTATGCGCATACACTCGTAAAGTTCATGTTCCACGCGGTCTTTCCAAGCGGAAAACAACAAACCCCCTGTGTAAAAATTGTGTAAAGCAACATTGTACAGCACGCATGGTGGCTCCTTTTAAATCGCCTTCTTTGTACAGACACCAGTCCATCCAGTCAAACAAAAACATACCAATGCAAAATTAGACTTATAGGGCATTACACACTGGATAAAATTTTATTTAGTTCGTCATATTACCGACAAAGGCAGCACCATGCGGTTATAGGGTTTGATGTTTGAGTAGAAATGAGTAAGTTTGATGTCATTAGTATTTGATCATGATTTCTTATGGTGATTTGTAATTGTGTTTGTGCAGTTTACTTATATATATATAGAAGAAACGTACAAATACGGCTGTAACGAAACCCAGTATCTACTGATGTATTAATAAAGAAATAAACACAAGAATTTGGTCTTGTACGTCTAATCCAAGTGATGTTACACCGACCGACCGACCGACCGACAAACACACACACACACACACGCGTATACGCACACGCAACTACACGCACGCACGCACGCATGTACATGCACACCCACACATGCACGCGCGTACGCGTACGCATACGCAACACAGACACGCACACGCATGCACGCAAACGCACGTATACAAGACACATTCACGCACGCATGAACGTATACACGCGCACATAGATAAGACACGCGCGCGTGCATGCATGCACACGTGCGCACGCACGCACGTATACACGCATACACACACGCGCGCACATCCATCCATACATCCATCCATCTACCCATCCATCCATCCATCAATCCATCCATCCATCCATCCATCCATCCATTCTTCCATCCATCGATCCATCAATCAATCAATCTATCAAACAAGCAATCAATCAAACAGCAATCAATCAATAAATAAATCCAGCCATCTATCTACCCGTGCAACCGTCTGTCATGAGCAATCAGGGGTTTTAAAAATTGTGCAAAAAAGGTGTTGTAAAAATGTGCGAATTTATCTTTGTGATAAATGTCTAGCGTAGAAACTCTGTTTACAAATAAAAGGATGCCCTAACAAAATTAATGTAAGATACCCGGGACAGATGTACTCTTCTCATAGCGCGCTCACCGCATTTAAATGTTATTTTTTGGCGACATGCTCGTTTCGTTCGCAGGTACCGTTCGGTGGTACATGATGGTGTGATGGTGTGATACAGTAGCCGGTAGTCACGTATTTTAGTGTACTATGCCTGTTATGATCTTGGTTTCCGGATGGGCAATACTTACCGGGAGAGATGATTTTTTTAAAGCCTTTTAAAATTGTAAAATGGTATCTGTGAATAGATTTATGAAATAAATGGCAGGTACATGGCCTTAGGTTATAAATGACATGAAACGTTAGCATGTAGTGCATGGACATTATTTTATTAAATACTATTGTATTTAAATGTATATTCGGCAAACTCATATTTTTCACAGATACTGTGCATGTGCAAACACAGATATGAGAGTGTAGATTAGCCAGTATTCCCGAATATTGAGCGTGCTAAAATCTTGGTTCGTACATTTACAGCATAATCCGAAAGCGATTGCATTCTGTAGAAAAAAAATGTTTTTAAATTGGAGAGATGATTTTGTGATCTTCGTGTGGTACATTAGCCTCGTTCACACGAGACCTCGTATTTATGAAATACGAACCTCGTTCACACGAGACCTCGTATTTATGAAATACGGTATTTGCGAAATACCGAATCTGAGACAAATACGCGGCCGAGCGTTCACACGCTGATTCGCGGCTCCAGAAATACGGTATTTGCGAGCCGCGAGCTGCTTTAAACAATCAAGCGAACAATGCGAAATAAACAATGCAATGCGCACCAACTGCCGATAAAATACGTAGACTGGTCCGCGCTCGAGAGTACCACTCGCGTTACACTGGAACTGTCGAGCGCGGACCAGTCTATAAAATACGCGGCTTCAGAAATCCGGTATTTAGCGTTCACACGAGGAGATGCGCGGTCCAAGAAATCCGGTATTTCTCAAGCACGGCAAATTTAAATACCGGATTTCTGAAGCCGCGTATTTCATAGACTGGTCCGCGCTCGACAGTTCCAGTGAAACGCGAGTGGAACTGTCGAGCGCGGACCAGTCTACGTATTTTATCGGCAGTTGGTGCGCATTGCATTGTTTATTTTGCATTGTTTGCTTGATTGTTTAAAGCAGCTCGCAGCTCGCAAATACCGTATTTCTGGAGCCGCGAATCAGCGTGTGAACGCTCGGCCGCGTATTTGTCTCAGATTTGGTATTTCGCAAAACCGTATTTCATAAATACGAGGTCTCGTGTGAACGAGGCTATTAGCTAGTCTTCGCGAATACTGTGTGTGCTTACGCCGTAATAATTAAAATAACACTCAAGTACACTTTGGCTAGAATGTTAGTAACAAACGTAATAAAATTGGCCTAAATGTAACAGTTAGGATATAATAGCAGATATTGTTAGCACAACATTCTATTACACGTTAGTGAAGGAATTATATAGTAATAATTTGAATGCGGGAATAAAGAGCATTTAATGTGTCAGAATAATTCAGATAATATCTTTGCGCAACTGTAAGACGATGGTCCAATTTAAATTGAGCTAAAACTAGGCGAAAGTATTAGCTAGGATATCATGGATATGAATGCTAAAACATTATTTTAATCTATTTATATAATTTTATTATTTACATTATTAGCATTAAAATAACACTAGTTCACGCACATGCACGCATGCATAGCAGACACAATATATATATATTAGTCAGTAGAGTAAAGGAGAGGATGGTATAAATGCTATGTCATCAGCATTTAGAACATAAAGCAAGATTGATTTATTATGTGTAAATATGAAATATCATCATAAATATTAAAACATTTGGTAGTAGGTAAATAATTCACGACTACCTACAAATCATTACATCAGTGGAAGCTATATCCACGTGCCTGCGTGTACTTTCGTCGACACTAGATGTGCAGGTCATCTACCGATGCTGACGTCATCTCTGTACAGTTGCTAAGCACCGTTTCGCTTCGCGGGAGCTCGGATGCTGATACTGTCAGGAAGGAGAGGCGAAGCCGCTGTGGGAAGCGTTTCGAATCGTGCGTGTACTCGTACGTAAACCCGCCCAGTACGCCACCTAAGACGGGTCCCAGCCAGTAGATCTGATGGCGCAAGACAAGAGTAGCTATCTTTATATATATATATAATTATATATATATACAAAAGATATCGTATTATACGATATCTATGGTAGGCACTGCCATTAGGATAGACACATTAATCTAATTGCTGTAGTGTTATATTTTCCCATTCCCCCTGTATGAGATGTCCGTTATATTCGCTATAGATGAATTTTCTCTTGTTTGGATAGAACAATTTCAAAAATCTATTTCAATCCATTACAAATTAAGCTATAATTCTTACCCAGTGATGTTCCCACGAGTTGAGTACGACGGCTGGACCGAGGGATCGCGCTGGATTCATGCTCGCTCCCGTGTAATGAAACTGAAACACGAGAGTGACATAATTCCTCCTGTGATAAAGCTGCTGACTGTTAGTTCGTTGAAGTTCTGTATTTAACTGTAGTTATCGACGCCGCGCCACGTTCTGATGTTCGACGCGAACCCGCAGCTTCGTAAAGATGCCAAACCAACAACCGCGCCAACGTGTGCTTTCCGAACGCAGCTGTTTTTCAACTCACGCTGTATTATGTCACTGTTTGACATACAGGAGTTGGTCGTATGAGAACATTTACCTAATACAACTACTATAACCATATTCGTCAGAGGGACACTTTCAAGTCGATAAGCGACGTACGCAAACAATTTATTCGACGTTGCCGATTGCATAGCAGCTTGACAATTCACTATAATAATCGAGAGAAGGGTGACCGATAAATGACAACCGTATAACATGCAGATTTTTTTAATCTAATGCACGGCACATCGTATTTCTACGTAACCATTTCTCTGGTAACTCCATCTCTCTCTCTCTCTCTCTCTCTCTCTCTCTCTCTCTATATATATATATATATATATATATATATATATATATATACACATATATATCGACGCTTTCGTATTTTGCTACTGGGTATAGAAAAAAAAGTTCATACGTAGTAAATTCAGTCCGTCGCGTTTATTATTGAAATTAGATAGCACTGGAAATGATTCATCTAAATGGCCTACCAGGCGCTATATATGTGTTATCGTGCGCGGTTTTAGAGTTTCCACTCGGCGTGAAATCAAGTTAGCTTTCTTCTAATTCACCACCAAAGAAATAAAGTACGTAGAAATATTTCACGTCACGCAGCGCACGAACCGATACGCCTACTTGAAACGAGTCTGTGAAATAGGGTCTTACATCAACAAGTGGTCATGGTTATGGTTAGGGTTAAGAATAAGGTGAGGGTGAAGGTGAGGGTGAGGGTGACGGTGACGATGACGGTTACAATTCAGATTATGGTTAGGGTTACGGTTAGTGTTTCAGTTCAGAGTTATGGTTATGGTTATGGTAAATGTTTGGGTTTGAGCCTGCTATAAATAAGTCGAATGATTGCATACGGTCGCCGGTATAAGAGCATCTGCGTAGCGAGAAATTCAGGTTGATACGCACTAACAATTGTCGTATACGCAGTAAATATAATGCGCAGTAAGATATTTTTATTATCTAAAAGCTTTCAATTATTAAAAAATTCTTTAATTTTTATTATTTAATAGTTATTAGGATGCACATTATCTAATTCACGAACGCGTCGTCTAGATGTAATGATGTGATGCAATTTCTGCATGACGCGTTCGATTTCCTTGTTTAATTTAAATCGGATTTGTTTGTTGCACTCGAATGCGAGCGCGAGCGCGAATCGGCGTGGCGTAAGACGCGATATTGCCGCAAATTCAATAAATGCCTCAGTGGATTGCTCGTTCCGTGGAATTGATCGTGGAATTAATGCACACGGCGAGATTTTCTCCTTGCCGATGACATTTACGTTTCTATAAGCGCGATGCGTTAACACTGCCTGTGTGCATTACTAATAATGTTGTGTCAAAATACAGTGGTCCCAACTTTATCCGGACAAGTCGAGGAATCATGAAAATGACATGATTAAACAATGGCCCCGAATACACTGCTAATTACGTGGCGCCAAATATTCAGCTACATGGCTGCAGCTACCTATGAAACACGTGTGCATTGACGCATCCGTTTTCATTGCATCGTGGTGAGATTGTGGCATGTCACGATGCGATCACAATCTCCGACTTCACCCTGTAATGTCTCCCTAATTAATCATCTAATCGACGACGCCACACATGCGAATGTGCGTGCTTATCGCAAGCAATCTCGGCAGTAAGAAGATGGCCACTTCTCTGTCTATAATAGGAGGAGGAGGAGGAGGAGGAGGATGAGGAGGAGGAGAAGAAGGAGGAAGAGGCGGGGAAGAAAAAAAGGAGGAAGAGGAGAAGGAGGAGGAGGAGGAGGAGGAGGAAGAGGCGGCGAAGGAAAAAAAGAGGAAGAGGAGGCGGTGGAGGATGATGATGATGATGATAATGATGATGGTGAGGACGAGGAGGAGGAGGAGGCCGACGAAGGAGAGAAAAAGGAGGAAGATTAGGTAGTGTGCCAGGGGGTGGGTTATATGCGGGGGCATTCAGATGTGTACGTACTTTAACGGGAAATATGGCAAATATGACAAATATTCACGAAAGGAAATCGGCGTAACTAAAACTGTCGATTGCTTTTCAAAATTAACCTAGCACAAACATTGACTCATGGCCTTCACACAACACCAATTATATTTACCAACGACAAAACAACAACAAAACTAATTCGACGACGAAGACTATTACACAACGACAACAATAGCAATAATAATAATAATAATAATAATAATAATAATCGCAACAACAACAACAACCACGACGACGACGACGTCAACGACGACGACGTCAACGACGACGACGTCATCGACGACGACGTCAACGACGACGAAAACAACGACAACGACGATAGCGACAAGATCACCGACGACCAGGACGACGACGACGATGACGACAACACATCAATAGCAACATCAACAATCACCAGAACAGTAAAACCGTTAAAAAACAACTCACAACAACGCATACGTATATATATTAACATACGCCAAATAGATTCCCAACAAGCGCGGCGAATCCAATCGCCAGGGAGCGCGATCCCATGCTCTTTCGCTTCGGGTCCAGATTAGCGAACACAGCGAACGCATACACGAAGGTGATGATGAACTCGATTCCGAACGCCTGTGCGAGAGATACGGCCGCATGAACGCGCGTCAGACCGAGGTCCCCTCTCAGCGTGGCCGGGATGAGACCGTAGAGAACAGCCGTGCCGGCGATGGCGCCCGTGCACTGCGCCATCGAATAGCAGACGGCGCGTGCCGGCGAGATGTTACCGGTGACTAGCATGCCGACGGTGACGGCAGGGTTCATGTGGCCGCCGCTAACGTGGCCGACGCATTGCACGAGCGTCGCCACCGTCAGACCGAACGCCAGCGCCACCTTCAGGTCGTCGGCAGGTGTCGCTTCGGTGCACTGCAGCGCAACACCGCATCCGGTCATGGCTAGCAGCAGCGTTGCCAGCAGTTCGGTGCGAACGGCCTTCCAGAACTGGAAGTTGGTGAGTTCCTGCCGTAGCGGCGGCATGCTGCGTAGAGGAAACCGGGCGAAACGGATATCCGAAGTATTCCGATAGCTCACGATGCAGCTATTCTGCGCGACGCCCTGTCGCTCATCCTCGTTGTTACCGCGCTCTTGGACAACTATGAACGTTCTAATGGTCTATCGCAGCTACTGGTTGATGCATCCACGCTGCGTGCGCGCGCAGACGCGCATAGAGTTACCGAGGCTAGCGTGGCTCATGACTGTCGCCAATTGACTGTTGTTGTCATTCACGGAAGCGCGGCCTGCGCTACTCACGTCGGACGATAATTGTTAGTGTTGATCGTTTATCGTTACGTATTAATTCAAGGCTTCCGTTGCCAGCATCTTTATATCGTTATCGTATTAATTGCACGGCGGCATTTATACATTCGCTGTAGCTGCTGGGATTCTCGGGGGGCCAATTACGCGATAAGACGTATCATAAGTCAGGGATATCCATAACATTTGCGCAACACTTCGTGCGCAAAAATTATGACATTGTAGACTTATGATAGTAATAAGCATTTATTATGTTTTTAGACAACGCACCGCTTGATATTTCAGCATTGGTGCGACGCGGCCGCTTACTCATTGAGTGAATTACGGTGCTAGTCTGTTTCGAACACGATCCTCCTAATAAGGTTTTGCGTGAGCATAATTCGCGCGCGTCCGCCGAAGTGAGATGACTCACTCTGAAGGTGAATAATTGAAGCCTGTAGGGCTTACAGAGACTGAATAAATAAAACCAGTACGAAGCTTTCGCTGCGCGAATCCAGTGTCTATTGGCTGGAGATTAGGAGGCATGAGGCAGCCTGAACGTAAGCAGACAAAAGTTAGAAATATAACTGATATAGGATTAATCGTCGCCATGACAACGCTCCCCTCTCGGAATCTGCGCGCTATTCCGATCTGCGATAATCACAGTAGGCCCATTACGCGTACGGAGTAAATGTAAAAAATAAATGAAATAAGTCAACGAAAAAATTAAATGAGCATCAATTAAGCTCAGACGAAAACACAACTACAGGGCCGTACACAGCAGGGGGGCAGCAGTGGCAGTTGCCCCCCTAGAGATTTTCAGAGTATGCCTTTTAATGGGACAAATACTGAACGCTTTTAGAAATAAAATAGAAATGTGACAAAAGGTTATCTTAAATCATCAAAGAAATATTACACTTTAAATAAAGAAATGTGAAATTGCGAAACGTTAGGGCACAGGGGGCATGGGGAGTACCTTTGCCCCCCTACAGAAAATTTCCTGCGTACGGCCTTGACTGCGCTGTAGTTTGCATATGCTTACCAACCTGTTAGCCGTGCTTGCTACGCATGCGCGGGCTGCGCAGTCGCACGCGGAGTGTGAGGAAGTCGATCTGTGAATCATCTGCACGAGTTAATACAATAGTGCGGTCTTGTATGCACGCGATACGGAAGGAAGGATGCTTCAGCATCAACACGCAGCCGCCGGCGCTGGACAGCCGTGAAATTGGACATCGCATCAGCATGCACTCTCGCGGAACAACTACATGTAACAGAAAATGAAGAATATCACATCGTCGTGGATAGTTTGACCGTATTTGTGGCAAATATTAAAAAAATGTATCGGTACCGTGAGCGTGATGTGCATTCCATCACTTGGCGATGTGAACTCCGCTATCGTTACAGGTGTGGAAATTACTGTTGCCTTACGTTACCGTGGCGCAATTTACCCAAACTAATTTGAATATTTTAACTTGTCAACGAGAATCAGAAGTCACACCCAGTTTCACTGGCAAGGATGGTGCGTTCCATGATATTATGAGAGGAGCACTCCCAAGTCGCGGGTTGTCCAGATCATAGCATGCCTGCCACGTGTCAATTCGTTCATGGTCTATAGGATTGCATTATTTACCATTATAACCCGTAACACCATCGGTTAGTACATAGGCGCTACAGGTGGTGAGGATTTTCGTCATCAACCAACGGTGTACTAGCGCAATTTTAATTAGTTGGATTCTTTGTGACGTTTCCACCTGACGTTTCACGCACGCACGGAGACATTCACTCACACCCGCGCACGTGCTCGCACTATCTCTCTCTCTCTCTCTCTCTCTCTCTCACACACACACACACACACACACACACACACACACACACACACACACACACACACACACACACACACACACACACACACACACACACACATACATACACACGCACACACACGCCCATGTACGCATACACACACACACACACACACACGCCCATGTACGCATACACACGTATACCAATGTATATAATACGCATATGTATACAAGCATCCGCGCACAGATAAACTCCCCTATATTGAGAGAATTGACCAATAAATCCGATTTACTATTACTAATATATAGACATATATGTATAAACATATGACATGTAACATAAACATATATCAGACTTAGATTAACATATATCCGCTCCCGGGCAAATCTTTTAAATGAAAGATCTCGGAAGAAAACTTGTTGATATGGTAGTTCGATCTTCTGAATGGGATAGGAACATCATTGCTCTTACGTACATCCGGTTTCCGGTTTGCGTATACCTCAACGTAAACCTCGACACAACCAGGAACTCCAGTGGGAGAGCAACCTGCGTAGTTATGTGCATGCAGCAAGCTACCGGAAACTGATATATACCACTCTCTCGCTCTACCGTGCCTTAATTACATTTACAGTAACAAACCCGTCTTAATTGCTAAAAGAGCTTAGAGATTCGGACAGTAGATCAGTGAGATGAAGGGAGCAGTGGTCGTGTTGTTACAGGTCATCGTCGTGTTCACGAGAGTGCGCGCTAGTTTTCAGATTCGGTTGGACAGCGATCCAAAAGTGCCGGATCTGCCAGTTGGTAAGCGAAAAAGTACATTGCCAGTATTATATCGACGTGGCGTGTGAAGCATCCTAGAGAATCTCCCTGTACTCCTCAGGTATCTGATCAATGAGAACGCGTATAATTTAGAGCGGGTTTCTGCTCCGGTTTAAATCTCTTACGTAATGTGGCCAGGGGGAGGGGGTATAATGAGTGATGTGTTTTCTGCGTTTACGCTCGTGTAAGTAACCATCAGTAAGAAACGCGGTTAGCTTCGTAATGCTCTACGTTCATGCGACGTGTACTCGATGCGAAATTCGTCCGTGCAAGGTTTAATACTTATAACTAAGGTTTATATAGTCAGATTGCATACGATCGTGCGCGGTCATGCGAGTACGGTGTGATTTGTTGCGATCTAAAATTGTTTGAAATTTTCCTACGGAGAATTTGTCCCCGATTTTCTTCGATGCTTCGATGTACTCGGAATTTCTATTAGAGCTTATATATATATATATATATATATGTATGAAAATATGGTACAAACGTCTTGATATATATATATATTTATATACACGATGTGCAGCGAATTACAAAATAGCCGCATATCAATGTATATGGCTGTTTTCTCTACTGGAATGTTGAGGAGTACTTTTCACTAGTGTTGTGATTGGCGGTTGTTGGTGAAGGTAGCGGCTGCGTAAACTAACGAGGTTTACGACCGTGTATACACACGCATGCATACGGCCCGAGTCCCGCATCATATGCCGTCCGTCTTCTCTCTCTCTCTCTCTCCCTCTCCCTCTCTCTCTCTCTCTCGCTCTCTCTCTCTCTCTTTCTCTCTCTCTCTCTCGCACACACAATTATTTCCTCCGTCTTCTCTCTATCTCGTTAGTTTGTGTTCTCCGCTCTTCTGCACTTACTCCTTCGCGTTCTCTCGCTCTCTATCGTGATTTCCTCCTTCTTCCGCACTCTTTCCCCTCTCTCCCCTCTCTCTTTCTCTATCTTCTTTCTCTTCCTCTCTCTCTCTCTCTCTCTCTCTCTCTCTCTCTCTATCTCTGCTCTTCGCTCTCTATCCTTCTATCTCTTGTATGCTCTCTTTCTTGTTTTCTCTCCTCTCCTTCCTTCTTCTCTCTTCTCTGCCTCCTCTATCTTTAGCCTCTCCCTTCTCCCTTTCTCTTTCTATCGCCCCCTTTCTCCTCTCCCTGGCTCACGTGTATAAACGACTGACTACAATATTTATAAACATGCACCAGGTGTTGAAATACAGTGTACATTGATGCTCTGTAGACACCCTAGATTATGTTAAGAGAATGTAACGTACGTACTGCCTGCTTCAATCTCCAGATGAATGCCTGATTAATGCCAAACAACTGGGCTACCCGGGAAGCAGCAGCGGTGTCATTATTGTCCCGGGAAACGGGGAGGACACGTACGAGAATTCAGATAGCAAATGCTGGATCATCAACGCGCCAGAAGGCAAGGTATCATCTCGTCGCCAAATTGACGCTCGTAGCTTATCTTTCGATTTAAAAAAAACGTTTTTTATGCATGTCATCACTAGTCTTAGTGGAGATGAGGAGTCTTGTGAGGGCCGTTACCGCTCAGAGTCCACACTCTAAATGCTTGTCTACTACTTCTTCTTCTTCTTCTTCTTCTTCTTCTTCTTCTTCGTCTTCTTCTTCTTCTTCGTCTTCTTCTTCT